AGGAATACCTTGAGAGACTTTTATAGATGGAAAGACCAAAGAATAGCTGTTGTTTTGTTTTTTTTTTCTAAGTTCTGGTAAGACATCAAACGTGTTACCTCTAGGTAACTGAGGTAGCCAGTTTCAAGCTAAAGAATTTTGGAATCTGATGCAGTGGAAGAAAGGATGAAGCACAAGAGCAAGCTCCTTTGAAAGAAGCCACAGAGGGATATCCAACTCAATATACCAAGGGATATTGAGTTACCCTGACATTTTTGAGGAGAGTAGAATAAAGCCATGTTGAGTGATCATTTGCCCAGGCGTCTGTGGGATTCATTGCCTTGAGTAGACACCTGGGAAAGCAGCCTAGAGGCATGAACTGCCCAAACATGTTGAAGGGATAAATAAAAATTCCATGTTTGGAAATATTTTAAAATAACCACCCAGTTCTGAGTGCAAAAAGCTGGAGAAAGAAAAACTGGATGCATGTACTTCAAAATTAGAAGGAGGTATGTAGGTGGCCAAGCACTAATGTGGAGCCCTGGCCACTCAGAATCTTGCAAGTTGGCCTTCCCATCAACTCGTGTCTTGCCACACATCTTGTCTATTTATTCTGAACCACAATTCCCTAGAATAGTGTCCAGAGCCTGGACTCTTTACTATAAATGGAACTAATGACACAAAGACTGAGAAAGAATTGCTATCCACTCCTCAGCAACCACTAAGTCTTCTCACACTGCTGCAGCCCTCTGAAACTGTGAGCGAAGAGGTGAGCCTTGCTGCATGGCTCAGGCTACAGGAGGACTACAAGCCAAAGCCACTTAACGGACTTGCAGTCTGCAAACCTGGCTCTAGTCTCCTGTACCTGAGCAGGGTCAATTTGAAGCAGTGGCTAGAGAAGTCAGTTCATGAACCATTTTCAAGAGCAACTTCTTAAATGTTGGTGGTTATTTTTTCTTGGCCAGAAAGCAGTATTGCTTCCCAAGGGAGATACATCCCTGGAAAGGGCAGGAAGCAGTTGCAGTATGGATATGCACAACTGAGAGTGAGTCACACTGGGTAGGCCTTCATGTCTCCAAAGCCCTCTCTCCACTCCATCACTCCTTGCTATCTTACATGCACTTTACTCTTCAAATTGATTAACCCTTACAGACCAGAGTAACATTCAAGGTCAAGAACTAGTCTAATGATTGCTGCAAGATCCTTATCTGAAAGCTACAATCTAATATCTGGAAAAGGATGGGAAAACCCCTCCTAAATACTGCTGCTAGATCAACATCCTTTAACAGCTAGGATCTCATAATGTCACCAAACAGCAAACTCTGGTGATAAATGGCTCTACACCGCTTCAATAAAAGATATCAGTCTCTCTCAATCTCTCCTGATGGAGCTGTTCCACTTTTTATAAATATTTAAATATTCATTTGACAAGACAGACAGGCTGACTATAGTTCAGCACTGAAGACTCTCATGAGGGATCTCTCAGTCCCAGATTTGAATTCTCACACAAAATAATACAGAGCATTTCTCTAGGGTTTGCATCAGGATTTTTTTCCCCCATTCCAGGACATATTGCTGTTCAAGAAACAGAGAAAGCCTGAGACTTTCCTTGGAACGAGTAGTCCAATTTTAGAGTATCCACCTGGGATGTGAAGGAAATGCCCTTCACCTAGATGGATGCCCTAACCATCATCCTAGTGGCTATCAATGTGAAGTTCCCTCACACAAAAGTTCCCAATCCCTTCAACCCTCCAAGGCAGGGCAAGTCATAAATGTCCTCCTGATTTTGAGAGGCCAGAATTTTCTGATGGAAAATGCATTCCACTGGAAAGTTACCAGCCTCCTTTATTTAAAGCCATAACCTCAGTAATTGCTCACAGCTTAACCAAATACGAGAGAGTTCAACCCTTCATGATCTTACATTATACCTCAAGAGCGCAACAGCTCAGTAAAGGCAACATTACTTTATTATTAAGTGAAGACCAATGTTACTAACCAATTTATTTTCATCAAAACTGTCTGTGACAAACATTTTTCTGGAAAATTCCTGGCCTCTGTATCAACACTGAATGTAGCTGAAGGCTGCGCTAACAGACTTCCCTGGTTATTTCTGCTCCAGTTTAAAAAGGAGAAGGGAAGAGCTGGTTGGCTTGTTCTACTCCCAAAGCTCTACTGGCGAAGCAAACAGCACAACACTGTGTGCGAGCTCTTTCACAAGGCTTATATAAGTTTGTCTTGCCCTTGGAAATGTAAACTAGTTTCCATTTTTAAAGCTAACTCAGTTTATATCTGCATACCAATTTAAATTAAATGGATGCCATTTTTTTTGTTTAGGCAAAGGAATTGGAATTGACTCAATGAGTAACAGAGCAGTTCAATGCAGACAGAGATAGAGAGATGAAAACTGAAAAGCAGAAAAAGGGAAACAAGCTGGCAAGAAAAGAGGTAACAAGAAAATGAATGGAGAGCTTTTGGAAGATAACTAGAAAAAAAAGATCTTTTGAGAGAAATGCTGCTTTCCACGTGGCCAGCAAGAAGCAGAGCAAGATTCTCTGGTATCTGAATTACTGAAGGGAAAAAAAAAAGAAAAAAAAAATGATTGTGATAGGATAGGAGATGTAGGAAATGAAAAGGATTGAAAAACAGTCTGGAGGCCTTTTCTCTGAACAGTAAGCAAGTTTTAATATTTTCGGGAAGGATCTGAACACACATTTGAATTATATAGGAGCTTCAAAGGCTCCAGAAAATTATTTTTATTTCTTGCATTGCTCAGTGCCTTCTCGTTCTTTATCTGTATGAGTGCAGTGTCCTCACAAGCTTTGCAATGGCCCTGCTAGGAACCACAATTACTCTCCATAACCCTGAAATGACCTTTCTGACTATTTCCAAAGCTGCACGCTTGCACACTGCACTGTTCGCAGTCCCTTGTGTCCACGTATGGTAAGGTTTGCTGCGCTCTGCTCTGTCTCCATAAGCAAGTGTTGCCTGCAGCCACATCTCTGCTGGTTTATACGAAGAACAGAGCAGAAACTGCATGAGAGGATTCGGTCAGAAGTCGGGATTTTGCTCTGTGAAAGATGCAGAGACTTGACCTGAGACAAAATGCAGAATGGGTATTAACTATGTGTCAAACACTGAGTTCAGAAAAAAAGCACCTTAAAACTCTGTGGAGTCTTTTTTTTCTCCATACCTCTTGCATAAGCTGAACAGAAAGGAATTAAATGTCGCAAAAGGCTTACTAAAATTATGTAATGAACAAGTTGCTAGGAAGCTCCCTGAAGCTCTGTTGTTCTTATAAGATGACAATATAGAGGGGGAAGCTGGGCTTTTCAACAAGAAGTATCTCATAAAGTGAATTGTGTTCCAAATATACTGCACTTGTGTTCAATATATAGATCTTTTACAGCACAGTTTCTTTTTTGAGACTAGAAAAATGGTGAGGACAACAAAGTGTTAGCTGCTAATTTGCTCATGATCTTAAATACCCACTAACCCTTTTTCTGCTTCATCTCATCCCAAAGCCACCAGTGTCAGCCAGAGACTGTGCAGCAGAGACACCACACCATTTTCTTAGACATGTGTAAGACACTATCCAACATTTGCAGAGTAAAGGAAAGTCAGATCAAGCCTTATCTCCCTATTTGCATAGCAACCAAGCTCATGGGCTAGAGATTTTTGTCCATCCACCATGACAGGGAGCCGGCTCTCCTGCAAGAGGAGGCTCCCTGTACTGCTGCCACTACCAGATCACTTGCTCTTTAGCTTGTGAGCTGGAATAATCTTTCTGCTGCCACCACATGCCATAGACTTAACCATGTACTTGTATTGTCTATGCCTCAGTTCCTTCTCCTCTGAGCTTCTGTCTGGCAACAAAATAAAAAGGCATTGAACTAGCATAAAGATAAAATAGAGCACAGCATGGGTTTTCTATGGTATTGCCTTTATCCTTTTCCCTTCTATCTCTAGGATATGCGACAATGGCTCCTGTGCAAATTGAACTGAAACCAACACGAAGAATTCAGAGACACCTACAAACCCTTCACTACAGCCAGAGAGACGGAAATCAACTGAGCTTCGATTCTGGCAAGAAGCTTACAAGGGTGGACTTCACTGGTTCTTATTTCCATCACACATTTTGACATTTTTTCAAATTGTGACAACAGTAACCTAAGCTCACATCTAGCCTCATGGTGCTTCTTTAAAGATTAACAAAGCAGTAAGAAAATAGAGAATGCCAGTGTTCAGACATCTGCTCACAGGAATATGTTTGAAGTGACAGTTCCCTCTCCCCCTCTGCTGCAGCTTGGTTGTTTCTAATCATCAGCAAGGAGAAGAGCAGGCTCAGTAGTTGTGGGTCCAAGTCCATCTTCACCACTTGGCCTCTGAAACTTTTCATACCAGTGCTGTGTTTGGGAGCATGGACTTCTCAGACTTACAAGGCTGATGGCTAAAAGTCTTGCTCATGATCCTGCTTATTAAATAGAGCATGGGGATATTATGAAGGGTGCTTTCGAATGACAGTTATGAAGAGTGTCACGAGACTCTGTCTTACAAACTATGTTTGGCCCCTTACTTTCACACATAGACCCCAGGGGTCTTAGACAAATACATGTGATTTACGACCACTCAGACACAGATTTCTGCTCCGTTCCCCAGAAGACTACATTTGTACCTCAGTTTGGACAGTAATGCAGAGCAATTGCACATGGGAGTGTGAGGCCCCAGTCACATGCACGAGAGATGAGAGAAGCTGAAAATGAAGTCTGGTCATTCTACCACTGCCTGACTTGCCCCAGAGGTAAAAAGGCAGGTGTACAGGGCTGCCTTTAAGCAAGAGAGAAAATACATCCATCAACATCCATCTGAGGCTTTCCCCTAAAGGATCCTTTCTGCCTTTTCTGCTACATGTGAGATGAAGAAACGTTACATACCTTTCTATTCAGCAAACTATGGTTGATCAAGAGAGGATGGCAAGAGAGGAACATATACAGGTAGATGTGTACCTGCAGTCAATCACTTACTTTGGATTTCCAGCCCCTGGTTTCTTTCTCCGGAATATGTTGAGGAAAGTGTTGGACTTGCAAGGTGCCTTGCCATCCCCGACATGCATACGCACCACGTCTGAGGTGGTGAAGGCACTGCGAACGTTCCTCTCAGGCTTGGCTATGATGATGTACATCTTGGGAGTGAACATGCACCCCAGGGCCACTGTCACACTCAGGCTCACCGCAAAACAGGTGGTGATGATCTTGTAGTTGCTTCCAAAATAAATAGGCACAAAGGCCAGCCAGATGATACAAGTGGTGTACATGGTGAAGGCAATGTACTTGGCCTCGTTGAAATTGGCAGGCACATTGCGAGTCTTGAAGGCATAGTATGTGCAGCTCATGATGAGGAGTCCATTGTAGCCCACGGGAGCCACGACACCTAAGTTGCTGGTGTTGCAAATAAGGTAAACTTCCTTAATACTAGGGTAGGAGAGAATGGGCATCGGGGGCTCCAGGATGATGAGCGTGACCACCAGTGTCAGCTGCACACTGATCAAGATGGAGGCAATGACCACTTGAGCCCATGCACTCATGAAACGTGGCTTGCGAGTGCAGATCTTCTTTTTGCTGCCCGCCAGGATGCGTGCAATACGGTTGGTTTTGGTCACGAGAGCAGAGTAGCACATGGCTGAGGAGAGGCCCACCAGAAGGCGCTGGAGGTAGCAGGATGTGGTGGTGGGTTTAGCTATAAGGGTGAAAGGACAGATGTAACCCAGAAAGATGCCAGCAAGGATTATGTAGCAGAGCTCCCGGCTGGAGGATTTGACAACAGGGGTGTCCCTGTAGAGCACAAAGATAAGTGTGACAAACATGGTGACCAGGATCCCCAGGCAGGAAAAGACCACAGCCACAATAGACTCTATATTGCTCCACTGGAGATACTTTACAGGGATGGGTTCACAGCCTGCAGTGTACAGAAAAGAAACAGAGTGTTAGAAAGGTATCTGCTCAAGGGAAGAACAATTTTTCTGGCTCCCAAAATAATCTAAACATTTGTTTATGCCTCTATGGCATAGCTTATTAAAACCATTTTACAAATGAGTGAACTGCAGTATGGGAAGCTTCAAATGAATTATTTTCAAAACCTGCTATTAATTTTGAGTGTCCCAAATATTTGCTCATGATGCTATAAATGGAAATGAGCTTTGCAAATTTTCTTCTAATTTTTACTTGTGGGAGACCTGCTGACAAGCCTGGCCTATCAAAGGCAGAAATGGCAAGAGATATCAGATAGATAAACTCAGCACCATCCCTTAATTTCAGCAGGGAAGAGATTGTTACTGGCTGCTACCTGTCAGAATGGGCAGTTCAGACTAACTTATTTTAATCTTTAATAAAATCAGCATAATTTGACCTGCTGTATTTTTTAAGGGTGATTTTATCAGTAAAAGAAATTAATTAGAGATCTGTTATCAACAGAAAAATATAAAAAAACCCAAAGTTGTAATGGAATTAAATGACAGATGCTGTATCTTCCCATTATATTTCTGCAGTTTAATTTTCTCCACAAGATCTTGTCTCCACTTTGTCAAACAAAAGGGCAAAGGGCTCACTGTTTTCCCTCTACACTCCTTTTACCATCTCCACTAATTAATGTGATTCAAATCTTCTGGAAAAGTCAAACCTACAAAATATGCATGGTTTAAAAAGTAACT